CGACAAGAAGGATCTGTCGCCAGAGCTGCAAAGCATGGTGTATGGAAGCCATTTAAACTAGGCAGCCCGCCAACTGAAGCTGGGTTGATCACAATCGGGTTGCCACAGTTAGCTGAGCCTGCTGTTGCTGCGAACTATCTGTTCGCGTTCACGGGCGAAAGCAAACGGCCTGACGACCTGAAGAACAATGAACGTGTGAAACCGACGGAAAATGGAGAGAACCGAGATGCAAGTCTCGTTGAGATTGGTATTGTGAATTCCGGTCAAAATTTCCAAATCACGGCGGTTTGGAGACGCCGCTCCAATCGCCAAATACAAAACTCAAGTCATTTGCCCAATCTCCGGGCCCAAACCATATGGTCCAAGTGCCCGCATGTCAAGGCCAATTCGTACTTAAACGGGTGTCTATAACCAATCCTAGTGGCCCCGGAGATTGGCCGGAGATTTGGCTCGGGCGGTTCAACAAACCGCTCATGGAAATTTGGAACAGAACACACAAAATTGATGAAGATGATGATGAGGAACGTGATGGACACCCGGTCGAAGCTTTGATCACAAGTCTAGCCCAGATCAGGGGACCACCTCGGAGCATCGTTCGGGCAGTGAAATTACTGCCCGGTGAGAGACTGGGGTGGTGGTCGTCCCAACGATACGACAAGAGGAAGCGAATGAGAGCTTTGGTCAATGGCGCCGTGGACGACGCGCGAACGAGGATACTCCTTGACACTGGAACGAATGTAAGCGTGAATTCTGCCAGCTTCGCCAAGCGGCTACGTGTGCGAGAAGTCCGGGACCACGGACGAAGTCTCGAAGTCCGCGGCATCAACCCAGGGGTGATGGAGACCCGGCGACGGGCGCTCGTCAAGATCACCCTCGGGTGGGAGCAGGTCTACGAATTTGAAATGTGGATAATGGATCACAGTGCCGGGGTGGATGTGGTCCTTGGGATGGACTTCATGATCCCGGCTGGATCTATTTCATGGCACCACACGCCTTCCGGCCGAGGTCATGGTACCACTACTAAAGTCGCAGAGTGCTGAAGATGACGAACCTTATGGCACGCAGCCTTCGTGTGGGCCGATCGAGGATTTATACGTACCCGGTCGCGAGTGGCGAGAGTTTCGACTGCCGCGCCAGCGGCTACCTCGTTCGGAGTACGATGTGTGGGTACGACGCACGGGCAAGCTCGTGCCGACCGTAACAAGGTTTCGACGGGGGCAGCCGACGTGGATACGACTCACCAATATTACGACCACAGCGGCACAGTGCGCCAAGCATGACTCCGTAGTGCTGTGGGTACCGCATGGTGAACTACCGCGAGAGACCGGCTACGCGAGGTTGGACTCTAACAAGTACAAAGAGTGGCAGGTGTTGGCCTATTCAACGAGTCGTGACGAGACTCTGGAAGGACAAGAACGTCGTCTCTACGAGCAATGGTTGGCTGAACAGCCGCCTGCGGTCGAGCGCCGAACTTACCCGACGCCGCGAAAGATCCTGCCGAGGCCACCGGATGCACCGCCATGGCCAGAAAGCCGTCAACAAGCTCCGTTGGATGATGAGTACTCGTCACCCGATGTACATGGCTACGACGACGACCCCAGGGTCAGTGAAGGCTCGGTCGATGTCGCTCGAGCTGATACAACCGATGTGGATCGTGCTGGTGGGTCGAACGATGGTTCGGACGACGAGGCCAGCGCGTCGTATGACTCGGACGTACCCGGAGACTCGCCGCCTAGCCGAGCGGGTTGCCTGCCCGTGAATCCGAACAGTGGTGCTGACTCCACCGGCCAGGGAGCGATATACGCCTCGGTTGAGGCATCGGAAGCCATTGATGAGCTGAGTGATGGTGACAGCGTGACGAACGACGGTTCGGAGGATGACCGCGACGTGGTAGCAGCGGCCGAGACAACTACATGGAATGTCCTGCCAACAGGGACCGCTGCGTCCAGCCTGGAGCCAAAGGAAACGTCGGCTGCGGTGTGTAGTAGCGAAGTCGACTGGGGTGAACACGACCCAGGGCCTAACGACGTTCCTACTGAAGCCGGAACCTCCACCGCTGACGCTGACATTGAATTCCATGATTCGGATCTAAGTGCGATCGACGACCCTGAGCAGCTACTGGAGGCGATCTATATCTCGGTCATGCATGCCATGGTCTGGCGAAGGTGATGACACCGTGAACGACGTTTCGGAGCACGTCGCGAACGAGATTGAGCTTACCGACTACGCGCAAGAGCTAGCGTTCTTGCCGGACCTAACCGAAGCGTCGGAGACGACGCTGGACTACTCGGGGCAAAACGTCCAGAGTGACGAACTCAGCGTGAAGCAGCAGACGGCCCTGGTCGATGTGCTGAAGAGCCACGAGAAAATCATGATTGTGAGCGGTAACGCCCTGCCGCCTCCAGCCTACGGGGTCGTGTGTGGCATCAATGTACAGGGGCACGCGCCAATCAAGCAGAAGGCTCGGCGGACCCCGCTTCGCTTCCTCGGTAAGCTGTAC